CCTCCCGCCGCACCGGCCTCTCCCGCGCCCGCCCAGGCAGCGACCGGCCGGGGGCCCCCACAGCGCCGAGACACGCACAGCCCCTCCCGCCGCAGCCCCCGGATCCTCATTTTTCCTTAAAAAATTAATAACAAGCAAAGCCCCCTGCGTGGCACGGCCGAAGGGAGAAGCAGGGAGCAGAGGGCGGGCTGCCACTAGGAGGAACCGGCACTCTCACGGGGCTCCGGGCGGGAAGCGAGGGGTCTCCGCAGCGGCCTGAGGGGAAGGAAGGGGGTGCTGAGGGGCCGCGGAAGGGCCGTTACCTCAGTGATGGAGTCTCCGAAGAGGACGACGCGGGGCCAGAGCAGCAGCCGCCCGCCGGCCCCCGCCTCCGACAGCGCCATGGCCGCCGCCGGACGGCAGCCTGGAGGAGGAGGAGGAGGAGGAGGGAGGGACCTCGCCGCTTTCTCTGAGGCGGGAGGTCCCCTCTCCGCCCCCTCTCTCCCGGGGGGTAGATCTGGGCCCGGGAGTGAGGAAGGGCAATGGTGGGGAACCCAACGCCAGCACCCCCCGACACGTCTGACCCCTCCTCCACCCCCCTTCGGTGGGCTGGAAGCACTTTTTTATAAAAAAAAAAACAAACAAACCCGCACCCTTTAAAACCCAAGATTACCTGTTCTGAAGACGGGCTTCCTTTTTAAGAAAATGCGATTTTCTTCTTAAAGAGACTCCATGCTCCTGTTTAGTTAGCTAATGACATCCGCCCTGGAGAGGAAAGTCGTCCCTAATTCCGCTACTAGTAATAATACACTAATTGTACTAATACTGCTATAAAGGTTATCAGGTGCCAACTAAATCAGCTGAGAAAAGGGGCGGGCGAGGGAGGAGGAAAGTTGTGTGCACAAGAGAAAGATCAGTGTTCTTTTGTAAACTCACTGTGGACATTTTTCAGCGTGATTTACTGTTTGGCAACAATGCCAGATGCCTCAGAGGATCCTGTTTGTGTCCGAAATCCTTCTGGAGGTTCTGCCGTTCCTGATGCCCATTTCCTTGCCCAGGAAGCCGGTGTCAGTGGCTCCATAGTTCTGCAGCTCCAATTAACCCCAGTATGGACACATGGATTCCATTTAAAATGTGTTCCAGCCCCCTCTGACTTCAGGCAGATACAAGCACGCAGGTAATCGCTTCCCTGACAGACATACGAGCTTGAATCTGAGCATACGCAAACCCAAAACATCCAATTTACCTTCCAGCTGCTTGTCAAAAATATAAAACTTAATTTAATTTTTGTAATTCTACATTTATGCAGGTTAAGACTTTTTCTTATTGCTTGTATATGCACATAAGAAAAAAGAACATGTGCATATTTTCCCTGATTTTATTACAAACATTATGCACAATAAGGCTGCTCATCCATTATTTGAAATAACTCATCAGTTTCACAGTCACAGAATTGATACATTTCACTTACTGAAGAAAATTTTTTTATTTACTCTTAAAAAATAGTCCAAATAAATTGAACATGTAAAAGATTCTTCTGATGTGTGCTAGGTATCTACAGAGGTCAGTACACGGGGCTGAGGGCATCATAAAGCCTCTGTGCAGCCAGCTCCACCATTTCACGAAGGGATTCGTCATCGTCGCTTCCTGGCTCACAGTCCACTGTCTGGGAATGAAAAAAGAAGTACATTAGAACAAGGAGAACTTCACATCCCTTTTCAGCACGTGAAGAATATTCACAAGGGGAAAGGAGAAAGAAGTCATGCAAATTGTTTTCAAGAAGAAATAAAGTCATGGAGAGCAGTACTGTATGTTTTTAAATGGTGTGCCAACACATAGAAGAGTTCAAAGACCTACCAAGTCCTGCTAACCTCAAGTTCTATGTTGGATTAATAACTTTTTTCAAAACTACTATGTAAAATGCATTCGGTTCTATAGATTACATTTAATTCAAACACACACAAGGTTCAATCCTCAGAGATTTGATTTTATCTGTGAATTCACCCACATTGTACCAGGTTAATATTGTATAACACATGCATTCATCACAGAGGTACCAGCTGCTGTACTCGGGGAGTCTCCACATTGATCTTCCCACACCCATAGGATAACATTTACATCAAAATAAAACCCTGAAGATATTTATTGATCACTGAAACGATGTAAAATGTCTTCCTAGAGAAAGATGCCCACCCCAAACGTGCAAGTTCATCAACATTCAACCCAGTCCCCTGACGGCCCTAGCTCAAAAACAAGGGCAGCGTTTGCACAGTAATACTGTTCTTCATCCTGTGGACTTTCTTGGCTCTAAGGCTGTACCTCCTCTAACTCAGTATTAACTTGTTGCTCTTCTGAACAAGTAACTCCTTTCAACCATAAAGGTTTTTTGGGGAAAAAAACGCATTTGAAGCAGCAAACATGCATTTAATGTTATCTAACAACACTGGTAAAAGCATGATAATGGTAAGAGCACTGTGTTCAGAGTTAATGTGGCAAAAATAAATCTGTATGTCCTACCATATAGTGACAGCTATACTAAACAGTTTTTTTATTTTAAAGCTATTATAGTTTTATAAGAAGATACATATGCACACAAAGGACGAAGCATGGTTCTGTTTTCAGAACTTGTTTTACAATGGTACAAGCTTGCCATTGCCAACACAGTATGTAAAGTAAGTATTATAAAGCCACACACTGTTGCAGTTGAGTTACCATTAGAGTTTGTGTCAGTTATGCAAGTCTCCTAACAATAATGACATATACTGGTATAATATTATATGAAAATGAAACCCAAGTTCTTGATTAAGCAGCATTTTTTTCCCCAGTCTTGTTATTTTTTGCTCTATCGCAAGACCTCTTTTCCTGTGTTTTTTCTGTGCTGCGTATACACTGAAATGTAGCATGTGTTAAAAAAATCTGAGAAGAGGTGACAGAGCAAGCATTGTGTGTTAAACACAAAACTCTAACTCTCCGTCCTCTGAAGATAATTAACATTCACCTGCTTTGTTTCAATAAGTAACAAGTTTTGGGCAGGGGCCAACCTTTTCTTCTGGGTTTGTAGAACACTCAAAACATTTGTTGCGGTCCCTAAGGACAGGAGCTGAGACTGCTCCAGTGCAATGTATTACTTCTCTGGATGGTGGTAATACATTATATGTTTTTAATACATTATTAATAATGACAGAAAGTAACACATGAAAATTCTTACGGACACAAAGGACACAGTTTTATTTATTCAAACAGTTCCACACTGTTCAAATAACTAGGTGTGATAGCTTATTAAAGCAGCCTTCTGACATGCATGACATCCAATTCTGAACCTGGATAGTAAATTAATAAAGTATTTCTTTGTTGTATTTCAGGCGTTCAATTTAGCTACAAAAGGCTCAAGGTGACAAAAAAAAATTATTAGCATCATTCCTCCTCTTTGACTGTTCAATTATTCAGACCAGAGCCTATGTTTTCAGAGCATTTTAAAAAAATATTTGTGGTTAAATCAGTTTCTTCTCCACAGTCGTTTTTTATTAAGTTTTAAGTAGAGCTGCTGAAAAATGCTGGGGTTTCTTCCAAATTTACATGTGCATTTGCTACATAAACATTGCTAGCATTTTTTTTTTAATGAAGAAAATGCTAGGAAGTGCCTCTGTAACAAACTCATAACCCAGCTTGCAGGCTGGAGCAGTATTTCTCTCAGAAAGGCTGGCTACTGTTTGAGTGGTGAAAATGTCAATGAAATGAATGGAAAGTGAACAGGCTTAAGCTGTTTTGATACCAAATACAGAAACACCTCCTCAGCAAATGGGTACACCATATTCTAGGCAGCACCGTGTACCACCCTGGAGACTCACCTCTCTAGACAGAGTGCACACAAGAGCAAGTGCTCTGCTGTACGTACCCGAGTGTCCAGGGAAATGTTTGCAGTTTTTCCATCAACCGTGACACACAGGACAGAGCCCTCTTTCGAACTCACACAGTCTTCTCCAAACATATCCCTACAACAAAGACCTATGTGTGTAAGACGTGGCCAAACAGCAAACGATGTTTCTCTTTCTATCAACCTTAGGGTTTCAAAGGCATTTTCTCAGCAGAGTATCTCCTTTCAGCAACTATTATTTAAGCCAGTCTAATATAATTAACAAACACCAATCTAAATTATTATGAGAGTGGGTGTCACATAACAGTATTTTACCAAATCTTATCATAAATGAAGGAAAAGATTCCTTTGATTTCAAAAGAGGCAAGATTTCTATATAAATAACAGAACATACATCAGTTTTAAAAGAGACATGATCCAAAAAGGTATTTTCATAAACATTTGTAGCATAATTTTGGGAGACAACTTAAAACTCTGTTTCTGGAAGAAATACTGAGCCCTGTATTCAAAATCTTAATGATGTTAAGAACTTTTTCCTGTACCTCTCTCCTAACTTAATTCCTGGCTTCCAGAGAAATTAGAATTTGCACAAACTATTTTTAAGTAACTGTATCTTTAAACTGTATTATCCTAAAATTATTGTATTTACACAATTAACAGTGATTATTTTCCTTTAGAAAAATATATGCCAACTTACTGAAGCATGATCTCCATTCTCTTCTTATACACATCCATATCCACTTTTTTGGAAATTTTATTTACTGCAGCTGAAAAGAAAAAGTTGTTTTATTTTCTTAGACATTTGATGAGAGGCAAAATTTGCTAATTGGTACATCCTGGTTCCTAACAAAAGCTACATAAGATATACATATACGTTTAAACAATTTATAAAGAAAACATATTAAAAAAAAAATGAAAGAGTCAAGGAAGTACATACATTTTAAATGCATGCTCCCTGTATTTATCCCATTTTTTGAAAACTTTGCAAGTCTAATTCTCACTTTTTGATTATCCTTTTTTATTGTTAATGCTCATTACTTCTCACGTTTCCTTTACTTATTTTAAATAAGGTCACATTTTCCACAGGCAGTTACCAGCTGCCACGTAAGACAAATTTTCAACAAATGAACACGTTACAAATAATGAAGACCAAGTTGTAATTCTGTTTTCAAGGAGCAAATCTTACTCCCTAAAAAGTGTCATAAGGAGAAGCAGAACAGGGGAATTGCAATCTATTGCAAGGCATTATAGCCCTCTAAGCTTGATACAGAAAAATTAAGAAGAAATGCCTCAGTTAAACAAATATATGCTAAACTTACTACCTTTCTGTATTTTGGGATTTGACTGAACTTCCAGTATCACTGTTGTCACGGTGTCAGCATACATATCATTAGCAGGATTTGCCACCCACTGGAAGACAAAAAAAATAAACTCATAATTTGAGCCCGTTATCTTGGGCTGAATGAATAATGCAACATAAAACCAATGTAACATTCATTGCATTCTCCTATTTGCTTTTCTCTGAATTCTAGCTTCAAATGACTG